CATTCCCAAGCAGCAAACCACCGCCGCCGCCATTTTGTCCGTCATTTCTGGCGATGAATCCAATTAATGAGGAGGAGTCAAAGAAACCTTTTGACAATATAAATGCGCAACCAATGGCAAGTTGTTAGCAAGGAAAAGAAAAAGATTTAAAAAACAAAAACAAAGGAACAATAAGGATGGGACGCAGTCCGTTGCTGAGGTCTCCGATAATTCCATTACTGTTGCCGCCAAAAATTCGATTGATTACAAATTCGTACTCTTCTTTTGTCACAATTCGTTCATGCCTTTTGTTCCGTGCGCATAACTTTCATCAATATTCTGTTACTCTTCCTGCATAATTGCCTTTTGTTTATTTCCCTTGTAGTAGTCTTTTCCGCGGATTTTATTCATTCGGATCAACCGTTTAACTATTCGAACCATCTAACTGTTTATACCGTCTATGTCGATCGCCTTACGCCGCTTTACGTTGCTTTACGTCGCTTTACATCGTCTTTAATTTGGCAGTTGACCCCGATCTCGTGCGACGTTTGTAAGTGTCTTGTTTTCCTTTATTTTTGTTTTCTCGTTTGTTAATTTCTTTACCTTGAATTGTGACAACTATAACTTGTAATCCATTTCTTGCAACCGCTCTTGATATGCATTTGAAACACATACGTATTTATTACTGAACTTCGTTTCGTTTAGCCATTTTGGAAGTGAAGTTGGACATGTAACGAGCATTTGTGGCTACAACACTGATGTACAACCCTATCAAATGGAGCTTCCTTAACAAAGACAAATATATGTTGTAAAAAGCTAGCAAAAGCCGTTGGCCATCGAGCAGTGGTCAAGTTATTCTGTAGGGTCACCTCAAAAGCTATGAAGGCCAACCTCAAAGCTAGCCTGAAGCATTCGCCGGACCAAGTCGTTCTCTATGTCGGCTCCAATAACCTTAAATATAAAAGGTGTTGCAAGATGCTGAATCGATCATAGACAAATCGAAAATTCATCCGACGCCACCTCCGCTATATCGAGGCTTACTTCCACAAGGGATGAATTGAATAGAGCGGTGAAAGATGCGAATAAAAAATCTAAAGAGCTACTGCCCTCAGAATAGATGGAAACTTATCCAGCATCTAAAGATCACAGAGAATGGCCTAATCAAGGGAGGACTGCATCTTAGTTATAAAGGTAATCAAAACATTTTTAACAACTTTAACGCGCTCTCCGCAGATTTCCTGCCAGCTCAGTGTATTAAATCCAACAGTGAATCCCTTATACTTAATGAAAGTGGTAGGGAGGGTCCAGCATAGGTTTGGCAGGATGCAGGATGAGGCTTAAAGTCGAGGCGGGATGTAGAATACGAGATACTTTAAAGGCGAGATACGGGATGAAGATAGGAAGGCGAGACCGGGACCTACTCCGATTCGAATGCGAGATAGGGGTTGGGACAGGTATAGGCGAGCTCATAAAAAGTATTTCTTTGCTTCAGAAACAGGCTTAGTTAATGCTCCCGTGTAAGTTGAGGTTGACATGCCTAAACGATTCAGTAGTACGTCCAGGCCTACGACTAAACGTACTTATTCTACTTAGAAAGTAGAACGTGTGGGAACAGGCCCTCTAACCAGCATTATTTATAACTGAAATAATAATAATACCGATAATAATAATAATGACAATAATAATATTTCCAAAATTTATGTAGCGCCATTCCATTTAGGCCAATGGCGCTTTACAATAAGTAAAGAAATAGAAAACCAAATCTAACCTGCTTATGATGAACAAATATATGAAAACATGATTTAAGAATATCTCATGAAGCCCTATAAAAAACATATGAACCTCTTACGAGGGCCATATCTATTGCTCAGAAAAATAAAATAACATAAAATAATGCACAAAAAATGGTCTATTCAGGAAAACTCTCTCGGCATTAAGGTGGATAATTTCTAATTTTAAATACAGCTATTATCTGTACCTTTTAGCAAGTTAAAAGTGGGGGCATATAAATCTCCAACGAAACAGAGTTACGCTTAGTCTTTCGAGTCCCAGTGAAGCCCAAAATCCTTGAAATTACAAGGTTTCAATAATGCCGAGGTCTGAGAACTAATTTTATATACTGGCTTGGCCTCTTGATCGAAATTTACGTTAAGGTGTTCGGTTGAACAGCTGTTTTGTGTTAATAAGGTTAGCATCGTAACAATCGTAATGTAGGCAGAATCTTTTTCTCAAGTCTCTTGGTTTTGTTCAAAAGAAAAGTTGAAGCTCTTAACTCGGAGAATGCGCTATTTTTAGTGGAAAAATCTGTATCTTTCCAAAGTGCCGGAGAGTTGTTCACGTCTCTGATCTCGGAAATCTTGTGCTGCACCGGTTGACTCTTGACTTGGGAAGCATTTTCAGGTAAAGATTTCATGCCGTTAGGGTTTTAGCTGGTGATGGGAAGGGTCGTAATGAAGTGTGGACGGCCTCGTGAGGATGAAGACCTCGAAGAAAAAAGAATATCGAATGAGTTCCCTCCAGTTTACAGTGTTTGAGGCCGAAGGCGAAGTCTGGGGAACATACGGACACTTGGTGAGCCAAACGAGGCGAGTCATATAATATTTGATAGATCTTGAATTTATTAGTACAACATTCTATTTCTTATGATAAGGCACAGGAGCTTAGGTGTTGTTTCAACCTGCCCCCCTCCTGCCTGGTACGACTCAGGTGCATTTGACTGTCGTCCGTGCCAAGGGAGTAAGGAATTAAAAAACCTTACCCTCCCAGGGTGGTTAATTTAAAGCGGAGGTGTCAAGTGTTTCTACAGGGAATACAAGCGTCTTATTTTTAAGGTCAAGGAGTTGAAAGGTATTAAGTTCGCTCTTGTGAAAGAATAAAGCATTCTTAAAAATGGGTAAAGAACATGTTGCCATGATCTTAGTAGTTATCACTGGCTTTACACCTCCCCCCCCCCGCCCCATGAACACCTAAAAACAAAAAATGTGATTTGCTCCCCAGTGAAAAAAAATGTGATTTGCCCCAGTCACCCCTCCCCTCAAAAATATAATTATCCGTCCCTAAGGTACTTTTTACATATTTCCAAAATAAGTTCCGTTCCGGAACGAAATTAAATTCATACCACATTTACATGCAAGATAATTTAGCCTGTAAACACAAGTATTTATGTCCTTTCCTGTCTTTTGCTATGCTTCCCTTGCTCCTTAAGAGGATTCATACACATACGAGAGTCGTACCGCACTTACATTATGCAGGAAGAAAAGGTCGTCCTGAATGAGTGTTTCATTATGTTAAGAAAACCCCAATAAAATCATTCAGAAATGACATGTTTCGAATAAATTTTGCTCTGGTGCCAAGTGGCAACCGGTACAGTCGAACCTCGATTATCCGGACATCGATCATCCGGACTTTTCGATTATCCAGACTTTTTCTCTGGTCCCGTTTTTTTCATGAATATTAATGACCTTAGATGTTAAAAACTTTAGGAGGTAAAAAAATTCAGAAATTATGTTAAAAGTCAGGAAAATTGTGTTTAAAACAGCGCATTACATGCTCCGCTTTCGAAAGATAGAACGCTCGGAGACAAAAAGGGACAAGAAGCATTCTAATGCGTTCAGCTGAATTTTGATTGGTTCAGCATTGTTTTGTTGCTACGGGAAAGTCATGCTTGATCAGTTCGATGAGCGTGGGTTATGTAAACACACGAGACGATCATAACTCAATTGTCTCATTAATATTCATATTTTCGATTATCCGGACTCTCGATTATCCGGACTATTTACCCTAGTCCCACCGAGTCCGGATAATCGAGGTTCGACTGTATGAACTTGTTCTTGAACAAAACTCATTCTGATATCATGTAAAAGGCCCCCTAAAAGTTTTTATTTCCAGAGCATCACGCTTTTGTTTGCCTGTCTAAATACTATAAATTTCAATAGTGTTGGAGTAACAACCAGCTTTTAACTACTTCGCCGCCACTGAAACAACGATTAGTGACCACAAAAAGCAGATGTTCTAATATTTTCAACTCAACATAAGCAAAAATCTTTATACATGGTAAATATTCAGTTGTGTCACTATCAATTATTGTGTGACTAGCTTATGATATAAATGGGGGAGGGGAAAACACAACACAAAACCTGGGCTCCTGTCAAAAAGTAATACCCAAGCGTAATATAATAATTGAAATGGCGAAAAAATCATAAATAAACAAGGTTAGAGTGATATGTTAGATTTTTTTTTAAATTGTAGTGATTTATTCTAGTAGACGGTGACGACAAGAAGGCACACCATGTATATTTCATAGTTGCTAGCAAGTAAATTTTGCCGGACTTTGAGTATTTGAGCGGTGGAACGAAATAAATAATTTCTCGAAAACTAAAATATGTTTTCACAAAATTACTAAACAACAATTATTAGAACATATTGAGCTACAAAATATGAAAGTAGGAGTGAAAACGAGTTTTGCGCGACTTGCCAAAGTATTTCAAATTTGTTCGATGGATGAAGGGAAAGAAGGGAAAGAAGGGAAACTTGAATTGTGCTAGCTGATTTCCTCTACTGCCCTTCATATTTTTGATCAAATAAAATTTGATCAGTTGTAGGGCTTGCCTGCAATGTTTTAAATTACCAGCGTGGACTTGATTCTTCTCATATATCAGCTGGTAAAAGATGTATACTAAAATTAGATGTCCATAAGAAAAAAGTACACATGATCAAAACAATCATACTCGACCCATTACATCCTCACATCATTACGTGTATTTTTCACACTGTTCTCCATACATTTCCTAAGGTGCTAACAAGGAGAATTTGTTTAACAAACAAGAGCTTCTTCAGTTGGTGATCATTTCCTTTATTCTCGTGACCTTAACCCTTTGCGTACCAACTGGCCATATATGGCCAGCTAATCACAACTCCCCTCTCGGAGACCATAAAACGAGATCTAAGGGCCTGGACGCGATTATTTCATTCTGTGCCAGATTACATGAAGTTATTTTGCAGTTTTGCTCGATTTTCGCTTAAATTGAGACGAATTTTGAGAGTTTCTTATAAGTTAAACATTTTCAGCACGGTGATTTAAAAATGGCGGCTCTTAACCCCGATCGCACACTCGATTTTTGCTCCGCAAACGGTCAAAGCAATGTGGAAATTCGCTTTGTTGACGAGGATGACTTCCCTCTTATAAACATAATGGAGCATCGAGCCTCTGAAGAAGAATTTTACTCCGATGAATCGCAATCCAGCGAACAGGAGTCCAGTGAAGACTCGGCTGATGAGAGCACACAGGAGGTAATGGAGGTCGTGGAAAGAGAGTGGTCCAGAGAAATTAAACGAAGAAGAGATATTGACTTTAAAGAAAACCCTGGAATAAATGTAAACACCAGAGATCTTAAATCGTGTTTGGATTTCTTCTCACTTTTCTTTACACCAGAGGTATGGCAGTTATTAGTTAGTCAGACCAATTTGTATGCAGAACAGAAAAGAGGCCCGAGGGAAAGTTCTGTATGGTACCCAGTCACTGTGGATGAAATGAAAGCTTGGTTAAGTCTTTATTTAGATATGGGCCTAGTCACTAAACCAAGTATCAGTTCTTATTTGCATAATTATGCTAATTAGGTGGCTCGTGACGTCACAAAAGTATCATATCCCATAATTTCTCTAACTCATATGAAAGCATATTTTCCTAGCTTTCTAAATATGTATAGGTCTGCAGGTGTCTGTAATAAAGAACAGACTTGGCAAGCATTGTTGTAACTATGCCTATTTTTGTGTGAAATAAATACCACCCCCCTTGGTATGCAAAGGGTTAATGTATGATTCAGAGTTAATATTGTAGGGAGAAGTCGGATGCTAGTCACTCTTAGGGGTTAAAGGGTTGAGTGGTGGCGTGATTGATTTGTAATATTTAGAATGACAGAAGCAGCATTAGTAAGTTAGTTAGGTTCACGATCAAGTACTCCAAACGAAAAGCAAAAAAATATCGAGATGAAGAAAAATTACTGCACAAAAAAGTAAACGACCTCCAATCCAGAGCGGAAAATAACCCGCAAGACAGAAACTTCAACGTGCCAGATCACATCTTAAAAAAATCATGTTGATTAAAACTCAAGGTGCAATCCTGAGAAGCAAAGTAGGATGGCATGAAGAAGGAGAACGCAACACTAAGTACTTCTACAGCTTAGAAAAACGACATCATGATATTAAAACAGTCTCAAAACTCAAAGTTGGGGATAATTGTTAAATAGAAGATCAATTCGATATCTTAGAAGAATAAAAAAAAATTCTATGAGTCGTTATACCGCTCCACCAATATCAACTCCGAAAATTTTAAAAACTCGCCTTTTTTTATTCCAGAAAACGTAACCGCACTAAGTGAAGAAGAAAAGAATTCTTGTGAAGGATTGGTAAAGGTAGAAGAATGCCAAAATGCACTCAAAGACTTTGACAATAACAAATCCCCGGGGAGTGATGGTCTGCCGGCTGAATTTTACCGATTCTTTTGGCCCGACATCTGCCATGATCTGGTAGCGAGCTACAACTTTGCTTCTCAACATGGCATGCTTTCTATAAGTCAAAGACGAGGAATAATCTCGCTTATCCCAAAAAAATTTAAGGATAAAACTATTCTGGAAAATGTAAGGCCCATCTCACTTCTCAACGTCGACTACAAGATTCTCACTAAAGTTATAGCCAAGCGAATCGAAAATGTCTTGCCAACTTTAATAAACCCTGATCAAACCGGTTATGTTAAAGGCCGCTACATTGGTGAAAATATAAGGCTAATTTATGACCTAATACATTACACAGATAAAACAAATCAAAAAGGTATTGCCATTTTCTTGGACTTCAAAAAAGCGTTTGATTCCATTGAATGGAACTGTCTCTTAGAAACATTGCAGCTTTTCAACTTCGGCCACGACATCCAAAATTGGATAAAAATTTTTTACAATAATGTTACTAGCTGTGTTCTGATTAACGGTCATGCCTCAACTTTTTTCTCCTTACAGCGGGGAGTCAGGCGAGGTTGCCCTTTGTCTGGCGTTCTCTTCGTTCTCGGCATAGAAAAAATGATCCTACTATTAAAGGTATCCAAGTCAACAAGCATGAGCTTAAAATAAGTCAATATGCCGATGACACAACAGTATTTGTTCGTGACCTCGATTCCGTCGTGAGTCTATTGAAGGTTTTAAATGAGTTTAAAGAACTTTCTGGCCTAGAAATAAACACAACTAAAACCGAAGCAATGTGGTTAGGCGAATGGAAAGACAGAACAGATGAACCCTTTGGTTTTAAATGGCCAAAAGAACCTGTCAATGCCCTTGGTGTCTTTTTTTCTCATAACCAAGAAAGTGCTAATAGACTGAACTTCGGTGAAAAAATACGTAATCTCGAGAAAACGCTAATCACTAGGCAACGGAGAAATCTAACTCTTTATGGAAAGATAAACATAGTCAAAATACTTGGGATATCTAAGTTAATTTACTCAGCCTCTGTGCTCCCTGTTCCAGATCACTATATCCAAGAAATAAATAAGCTAACTTTCAACTTTATTTGGGCAGGAAAACCCCCTAAAATAAAAAGAAACACCATAATTGGAGAAAAGAAAGATGGCGGTTTGAAAATGTGCGATTTTAATATCATGGAAAAAGCACTCAAAATAGCTTGGGTCAACAGAATTCAAGATGACTCACAAGCCTCCTGGAAAATTATTCCTAACCAGCTCTTACACAAACATGGTGGTCTTGCTTTCCTAACAAAATGCAACTTTACACCAAGCACACTAGACCTCAATGATAAGCTTCATGCATTTTACAAAAAAGTGTTAGATTATTGGTGTGAGTTTAAAATCTCGACGGGCATCGATTCCAAAACAAATCCTAAAAACGAAATAGTGTGGAATAACAGAAAAATTCTTATAGGAAAAAAACCTGTCTTTTACCTAACTTGGTATGACGCCGGTATTACTAAGATAAGCGACATTTTAAACCAAAATCAGAAATTTTTGAAGTGGTATGAATTTGTCACAAAATTTAATTTAAATGTGCCTTTCACCACATACTATGGCTTGGTCAACGCAATCCCAAAAGACTGGAAAGCTATTCTTACAAACCCTATTCCAAACGTCACACACGCGAACACTACTGTAAACAGCCTAAGAACCAGTTGTATTTACTCTTCTCTTTTAAACACTGTCTTTGTTCCTCCCACTGCCGAAACCAAAATTCTACGCCACGGATTTACAAAAACTACCATCAACAACGTTTATCTTATGCCATTTAAAGTTACAAACGAAGTTAAAATAATAATGTTTCAGTATAAAGTGATTCATAACGTGCTTCCAACTCGCGTCACTCTTTACCGAGACGGCATTTCAGAGAGCCACTTATGCAACCTATGCAATACAGAAAAACAAACGTTGCATCACCTATTAATAAACTGCACACTAATACTCGACTTCTAGATTCTGTTTCAAGACTGGTGGCACCAAAAAACAAATGAAACAATAACGTTATCCACAAGTCATACTCTATGGCTGGCATTATAGGACAAAGCATTGGCAAGTCCTAAATTATTGCCTATTGTTAGCCAAATATCACATTTTCTGCACAAGCCTTTGCGGAGACATCTTAGATTTTCAAATCTTCCTACTGTTCATCACGGGAAAACTTGAAATCCTAAAAGAGATTGCGACCGCAAAAAAAGAACTTCCGAAATTTTATCGCACGTGGGCTTTTTTACTTTAATTTTTCATGCTGCTGTTGTTTTAGGTTAGACTTATACTTAATTTCATAAATATTTGTTTAAGCTATATCAAAAGTAAATATCCAAAGAAATGTAGCATTTTTGAGACCTGTATGTTTACTTGTGATTATCTTTTAATTGAAAAGAACTTTGTAAACACGCCAACCGTAAATTAAATTAATGTTAATAATATTGTAATACATGTATCGTAATGTAGTGTATGCATAATTAGTGTAAGTATAAGTATCAGTAGTGTAAGTAGCAAGTACAATGTAAGTGTAATTAATACTGTAAGTAGTGTAAGTGATCGTCTTGTAAATAAAACTGTTTAAAAAAAAAAAAAAATTAAGACCTCCACTGTAACAGTCAGGTGACTAATTTTGAAACTTGAGCATTTGGTAAATACACCTTGGCCTGCAATTCTGATGACCACAGTTTGCTGAGGTAATTGAAATGTCAGTCCCCATGCAGGAACTTTCCCCATGACCCGTACAGTCATGTGCTATTAGATAACTTTAGAAAAATGTATTTGTGTCGATAGAACTATTGTAAGTACCGTACCACCTAGTGACAAAAATTAATGATTCCTTGTAAGCATGAAGGTTTGGGAGAAGCTATGGAACCATGGTAAATGACCCTTTCTTTACTAGGATGCATAGTGTCTTATGATTGCAACGTATGTCTTTCAGCTTTCAAACATTCAACCTTGTATCAATTGTAACTGTTTGCCATATCTATTTCTCTGTACCTTAAGCCCTCAAAGTTGAAGCAGGTGAGTCAATAACCTGACCTCCTCTGTCTGGAATTGTGTGATTACATAATTTCGCTGTGTAAGTTACCACTTTGTAGCATGTAATATTATTATTTAGACTGCATTAAATACTCTTTCTCAAGCTTTCACTGATGCATGGTGTTTCTTATCGATACTCATACCCAAACTAAACATTGATATATGGAATTGGTCACAAGATATGCGAGTTTTAAAGGGCTGGAATCTGGAAAGGTAAGGATCCTCCTTCAATTAGGACTGAAATCAATGGGGACCCTCTTTTTTTAATTCATGTCTTTACCTTGACCTGCCTCTTCCGCCATAATGTTTTGGGCACATAGATGAAGAGAATTAATTGGCATCCACATAATGCACAAAACAAGAATATAAATGCCTTAGCTTAATTGGTTTAAAAAATAAAAATAAGAGATCTGTGCAGACCATATCTTACTTTTTAGCCTCCTGTGGATATTTATTAAAAAAAAACATAGTCAATATCAGTCTCAATCACTCTTACTTTCCACTGAACTTGCAGAAAGATGATAATCTCAGTTTTTCTTTAAATAGGGAAAGGAAAGCATGCCCTCTTACCGCAGATAGTTCTTTTGTGAATTATCAGTACAAACCTGGGCCTGGTTGTTCGAAGGTTGAATGGCGCTATCTACTGGATAAAACTCTATCCCAGGAATACTGCTATACGTTTTGCTATCAATTATCCACTGGACAGCAATTTATCCACTGGAAAGTGGTATCTGCCCTTTTATAAAACTGGGCTCTCGTCTTATTTATACACGTTGATTGTTCTGGGTAGGCTAACCTTATAAATTAATTGTGAAAATTTCCTGAACCTGTCATTGTATGAATGTCTGACTCAATTTTACCTCATTAACCTAAACTGAATAAATAGAAACTTGAAATTTATTTGTTATCCTTATGACGTGTGCATCAAGATTTTGAAGTCGTTTCAGGCGTGAACTACAGTTTTAAAAGGAAATCTTCATGTGCATGTGTATTTAACATATAAAACCAGGATTATGATTACTTCAAATGACTTTACTGCCTGCTGTACAGGTACAGGCAGGTGTTTTAAAAAAGTTTGCTTTGCTTTTTCGTTAGTACACATTTCTATTTCTAGGAATCTTGATTATCTGGCCTATGCTCAATTCT